TTTGTGAGAGAGAGAGAGAGAGAGAGAGAGAGAGAGAGAGAGAGAGAGATTAGGGATTGAACACAGAGCCTTGCACATGCTAGAGAAGTACTTTACTACCGAACTATATCCCAAGTCCCAATATGACCACTTTTTAAAGCCACTCTGAAATCGATACTCACTCATCACATGAAGGTTTTGCATCTTTGTGCATTGGTTTCTATATGCCTATGGCGAATGTGAATTCTTTCTCATTCCTCCTTCTACCCTTACTCCATGAAGAAACTTCACAATTCAATCTTGAGACTGAAGCATCCCTTGGCCATGAGGTTTTTTTTTTTTATTTTTTATTTTTGTATTTCATTGCAAATTGCTCTAAAATTTTCACACACCTGAATTATTGTTTCTACAAGTAAGATTAATTTTGTTCTGTCTTTTTTGAGATAGGGTCTTGCTAAGTAGCACAAGTGACCTAAAATTTTGCCATGTAGCCTAGGCTATCTTAAAACTCTTGATCAGCCTTGAAAATGTGAGAATGACAGATGTGTGCCACTGTGTCTGGTGAACTTAGAACAATCTGTAGACTCTATTACTGTAAACTCTTTAGGGCTAAGTGTCTCCAGGTGAACGATGCAGCAGTAACTGGTGTCCCTGTCAGGCTGCATGTCCAAACACAGGCCACCGCTCTGAGAAGTTCTCAACCTGGCCTTGGCTCCATCCTCACATACATGAAATTTACCTTTTATATGCTGGCACTACTTGCTAAAAAGCTCACAGATCATCAAGCCACTATAAAATTGTCTTTATAGCCCTGTCACCATGTGAAAGGAAGTGGCTACATCTTTCAAGTGTGCTTTATTTTGTGAAGCTAAGTAATCTGGGGAACTGGTATTTCAAGTGTTCATCCACAGTATATCTTGGTACATCCACCAAGATGAGGAAGGAATTATTTGATGCTGTCATATGATTAAATATGCTCTCTCCTCAATATCTTGTCCTATTGTTGGGCATGTACTTCTAGTAGTACATCACCAGGATTCTTGGGTTGATTCTCCACAACCCAACTCTAAAAAGTTAAAACACCCATGCCAGACTTAGATAAATGAAACATGATAAGAAAATCTACAAAAGAAGATTATTCCATTAGCCTTGTTCAGAACTCAGCTTCTATTTAATTGTTGGGTAAATACATGGCTAGCCAAAACCATAACCATAACCACAACCATAACCATAACCATAACCTCTCTAGCTTTTGTTGTACCTCTTCAGGATGGCTACCACCTTTTAAACCCACCACTCGGGGGGCGGGGGAGGGCTCTGTCTTCCATGGTCTTATCTATGAGACCAGACAAAGCTGAGCACCCTCACTCTGATGTCCAAAGTTCACCCTTTCTCTGAGTGACTGACACTTGAAGATCTTCCTGATATGAGCTGTGTCTTACCAGACACACCAGAGCTAGATATCAGCAGAGCATACCACTACCTGCCCCAATTGTAAAAGATGTGTCCATGTGTGCTCATGTGATAAAAGCAGGGTTAGTTTTGTGTTGCTTCTAGTGAAATATCTATGGCCTATTTGGCAAGTCTCTGTGTCTAAAAAACTGTTAACTTACTTTGAACAACTTATATTTGTATAGCACTATTCTGGCCTCTGACTTGACTCAAAGCTTTTGTAAAATCCTACATGACAAGAGACAGGGCAAGATTTCTAAAGAATGAGAGTATTTAGAAGCACCAAATCCTGGGTCACACTAAATATCAGGACCAAAAGCATAAGTATGTTCATGCTAGACTGTACTGGAACTGAAAGCTTGCTAAAGTCCCTATACCTTGAGCTGTCCACTCTGCACATAGGAGCATTTGCAGGAAACCCTGAAACCTATAATAATATACAGATATATATATATATATATATATATATATATATTATATATGGTATACATAGCATAATTTATGTGTAATGTGATAAGAAGTTGCATTTAGGAAACTGGGACTAATCTCAAAATTATCTACCTTTATAATAATGTAGCTCTTCACTCTAATGAAAACCTTTCAGTGAACATGAAATAAGCAGTAGATGTCACACTAAAGATATAAACAACTGAACACATGTTTCCTGGGCCCTTTTCTGTTCTAAAGGGAATGGCTTTAGGATGAAACCAGTCACCTCTTACCTAAAATATCCAGTGGCAGAGAGGCTAATGCTCTGGGTAAAAGCTTCATTAACCTGCAAAAGAGGAACACCGTTTTCAAAGGATAACACATAGCTGGACACAAAAAGGAAGCAAATGCCCACTGGCCGTTGCACTTTTCCTTACTCTAGGGAATATGCCTTTGCAGGGTGAGCATGGCGCATTCTTCCCACTGCCTACTTGGGAAGTCTGACTGGCTTGTCTGACTTCCTCTGAGGAGACTAAGTTTCTGGTTTTGTGGATCCACTTATAGCCCAATGGAAAAGGAATGAAAGGTAAATATGGGTGGGAGTTTAAATGTAGGGGCTCCAAGCAAAATCTGGTGAAGGCTCTCCACCTTCCTATCTCCAATAAACACACACACACACACACACACACACACACACACACACACACACACACACGCACACAAGCGCACACGTGCATGTTTCAAAAACCACAGTGAAAAATGAGGTAACTTAGATAGATTACAAGTTACATGATCCTTTCACTCTACATGTTCCATCTGTCACAAACTCCTCATGGAATTCCCTTTGTCAATAGCCCTGATTAAACGATATGGGCTTGGTATATTTCTTAGCTGGGTATGTTCTTACCTGAATCATTTATTCTGAAAGAAGAGTGAGACTTAGCACTCAGAGAATGCCAACACCATGTTCTCCATGCTTATTGAAATGTGTAAGTGCAACATAGCTGCAGTTGTCACCTTCACTGAAGGGGCCTTTCTAACCAGACCTCATGTAGCAGCGTCTCCTGCAAGGACCCCCATTAAATGCAAAGTTTGGAAAGTGGACTAAATGGTATAGGCTCTTCTTTTCTTGGAGAATAATCATATATCTACAAAACTGCCTTAAGAATAGCATCACCACCTCTGAGGAACGTCTACAAGTGAACCAAGATGTCCATCAGGTAAGATGTCCCAACATGTATTTCAGGTCTGTATCCATCCTTTACTTTCTTGCTTAAAGCACGGTCCAGCAGTGAGGGGGCTGCTAAGGGGTCAGCAGAAGTACAGACCCCGATTTCCACCCAGAGCTACTTGAAGAAGCAGCTACCCTTTTAACAAGTGGCCAGGTAGTGTGTGTCCCTGGATAAATGGGAATATTCCCTGCTCTATGCTGCCCAGGTGAAAAGCAACCCTGTTTGTTGGATCCAGTGTACTGTGGGACGGGCGTTTCTGCCAAGTGGCCTTAGGAGGGTCTGCAGGATTCAGTCACATCAGACACTCACCCACTCTTCCCAGGTCCCATTAGGATTCTGGCTGACGACAGGCTCCAGGCGCTTCATGAGGATCTGGCAGGCATTCTGCAGGTTGGAGAGGGCAACAGAGCAATGGCGAATTAAAGGGCAACGCCTTCCACATGACCTTGCTCTCACTCAGCACTTGTCATTGCACTCCCTGCCTTCCTCAGATGCTTGGTGTGGTTTGTCTCCACATCTGGGCTGGGGTAGGGACATGACCATCCCCTGTGGTAATGATGCTGATGTGGAATTTTGGGAGTCACCGCAGAAGATGAGGGGGGCTCAAAAGGATACCATGCAAAATGCAACCCCCTTCTCTCAGTTTAGCCACACCAACTATATTTTAATTTGTTTCTGTGTCAATGTTTCATTTGAGATTTGCCAAATATCTAGCAATGCTATGAAAAACACTATCCAGGGAAATGAACACAAATGAGGCTCCCAGATCGGGTCTTTCATGAGGTCACACAGAAAGGCAATGTGCTGTGCAGTAAAATGTGTCTGGAGTTTGAGTGTCTTTTACTTTCCATGCCTTAGGGACCTCATCCATGACCTGAAGACATCTTAAGTGGTGACCATATCCTCTACTTTTCCCATGCCAAGTCCCACCTGAGCTTGCCAACTTGTATAGCTATTATGGACTCCCTTTGACCTCCAAAGAGCCTTGGCTTGGATGATGTTGATACTGATATCCACCTCAGAGGGTTGCTTCATATCAGGTTGCCATAATACTAGCTGTTATCTCAGCTGCTTTAGTCCAGAAGCACCTGTCACAGTGCATGGAACGTGGAGTCAATTGGCTAGAGTCATGGATATCAAGTTCAACTGATACTGCTCTGGTGCCCACTGTTTCAGGTGGTACAGAGAGACCAAGAGTTGGGAAAATCTGTCTCCTTTCAGGAGTCACACTTGTCATCTTTCAGACACCAGGGCCATTGTTGCAACAAGGCTTCCCTGTCCTACCTAGAATGAAGTCTGTGGTGTTCTTTGTTAGACGTGTGTGTGTGTGTGTGTGTGTGTGTGTGTGTGTGTATGCATGTGTGTATGTATGTGTGTGTGTGTGTGTGTAGGAGTTTCTCTGGCACATTGGATCTTTGTAGTCCTCTGCATGGGAAGTGAAATTAGGATGGAGGAATGGAGTCAGTTTCTGTTTGAAGTGTTCCAGGAGTCAACCTGCTTGCTCTGACACAGAAAGCAAGACACTGCAATCTCATTTGAGATTTCTCTCTGAGCCCCTCTGCCCTCCAAGGATGCCCACAGGAGTGGGCCGTGTTCTGTTGTGTACTCCAAATGACACTTGCCATTTGCCTTTGTGGCATTCATGTCTTAGGGTATTCTTGAATTATATTAAGCAAAAATGGAACTTATAGTGCTGAATACTGCTCTGGTGCCCACTGTTTCAGGTGGTAAGGAGAGACACCAGGAGTTGGTGTTCTAACCCCTTCCTTCTAAAACTTCTAGGAAAAAGCACCAGGGGACATTTTGCAGATGTTATAATTTGAATATGAAATTATCCCTAGTGATTCATGTGTAGGCCCTAATTGGTGGTTGTTCTTGTGGGAAGTACGGAAAGCTTCCAGAGGTGCCTCACTGGATGTGTGACTGAAAGTTATACTTGGCCCCTGGCCCCTTGTCTTGCTCACTGCTGTGAGGTAAAAAACCCTCCCTATCATGAATTATCACTATAGTGATGTTTTGCCCATCTGTGAGGTCAAGGACTGAAGTCTGAATCTCCTGAACCACAAATCCTTATGTCTGCGTTGGGTGGGGTGGGAATGTTCCAAAGGGGGTACTGAAAAGCTGGCTCCTCTGTGGAAGGGCTTTGAGACCAGAGGAGGCTTGAGTCAGTGCACTCATCACCTGAACAGCTCTCCCGTTGACATCAGCACCAGTCGAGCCTCCAGTAGCAATTGTGTTGGGGACAGTCACAGTGTTCATTTCATCCAGGTGTATATAAGACATCGGTATCTTTAATTCACGGCTGGCCACCTGTCCAGGGGAATAAACAGAATGTACAGTCCAAACTGTAACTGGGACAACGACTTAACCCTTTCAGAAAGTGTTGTGATTTTCTTAATTCTGTTTGGAAAAGTGAGAAAGATGATTTGAACAGTCTGTATAAAGTAAAACTCATAAAGACCTTACAGGCCCTGAAGACAGCAAGGGCCTTTCTCTACTCTAAAACCTATCAAACACTGGGAGCTGGGAAAATCTCCCGTGCCAGGTGGCAGACTTTGGTGGGGAGACAGGATCCTGCAAAGACAAAACCCAGATCCTCTGTCCTTTCCCTGTCTTGGAGGGGTTGGCTACCTGGAGCGTGAGTTTGTGGGCTAGAGGAGGGGCCCTCACCCCAGCCATGGGCTTCCTTTTTACAAAATGACCATTTGCTTGCACAGGAGTTGCCAGGGAAAACTGGCTGCCAGAAGCCCGAGATCTGAAGCCCATGGGAACATAAAGCTGCTGCAGTCAGGGGCTGGGAGCCACTGACCCCTCAGGAAGCTGAGTTCTAGTGATGTCCCTTTCACTCCAGAAGGGAGGTGAGGACTCTTTCCACATCCTAGCTGGCTTCCTGCCAGCTGATCCACAAAGAACAACTGGGACACTAAGGACATCTTGGCCCTTGTGTCACAAAGTTCTCTAAGGCAATGCTGAAACAACCTCTCTCACCTGTATCATCTTGGTGTTAATGCCTTGTCCCAGTTCAACTCCACCATGAGAAACCAATACAGATCCGTCTGTGTAGACATGGACCAAAGCGGCAGCCTGAAAATGAAATTAGAATCTGCTCTCAGTGTCTGTGCTGAATTCCAACCTGGCTGGTGAACACTTAGCTTGCTCTCACCCAATGAGGTGAGATTAATAGTGTCTTTTGCAATGTCACTTATTGTGAATTACTGCACATGTCACTGTAGACACGCTCAGGCTTAAGCAGGGCACGCTGTCCCAGAAGCCAATGAGGACTTTATCTAGTAACTGGTGTGGGGATTGCCATCTTTCACACCTGGCTTTAACTGTTTCACAGGAGGGAATCACAAAAGCATGACCACGTCTAAAAGCAAACATTTAAAAAGTACAAGATAAAAAGAGAGAGCACTCTCCTTCCTCTTGCTACAGGGACCAATCATCAGCTCCTATTCACAGCTCTCAGAGGTTTCAGGAATGTTCTCTCTTTTGTGGTATGACTTCTATGAATGGCAAAATAGTAAGATTGCTCTTCTGTTTATATTTAATGTAATAATCACCTTGTGAAGGGACTCTGGCTAGCTCCAGCATGGCGAGCATGGCGAGCATGGCGAGCATGGCTCTGGAAGGCCTTGCCCTTCTCCCCATTCCCTCTACCTTGCTATAAACCGGTTAAATCACTTTCTTAAAGGTCTATTCCCTTATTTGGTCTCTTCCTACTCCTGGGGCTGACTACCAAGGTCCAGCTATCAAACCATTGAGTCCACCAATCAGAAGCCCCCTCTGGCTTACTTAATTAACATGCCCAATTAAAATTAAACACCTCATCTTAACACGGGTTTCCCCTTGTACCTTTATAAACTGCCATTTTTCTATGTGCTGCAACTGTCTCTTCTATTTGGACTCAGTCCTTCGTCCTCTGGGACAAATTCCCCTGCCCCCTCTCACCTTGTTTCCTTCCCCTTCTCCATCATCCTCTATCTCTTGTCTTTGTCTCTTGCTCCCTGTCCTCTGTCTCTCTGGGGCGAATAAATCTCCTTTGTGTTGAGAACTTGGTCTTGGGGGTGCTGAGCTTATACTTTTCCTTTCATCTTGGATTTTTGTTCTATGTCACATATTTAGATCCACTTCACTTATTTTAATATCTGTATAAATATTCATATATATATATATATATATATATATATATATATATATATTTTGTCTACACTTTTTATTGTAAACATTTCCAAATGAGGACTATTTTGCATAGATTTTTGTTGTCTGCACTTTTTTTTGTGTGTACACTTATCTTCAGATGTCCTCCTGGCATATCTCAGCAAACACTATTTATAAATTTATTACCATTTATTACTTTATGTGTATGGGTGCTTTGTTTGCAAGTGTGTCTGTGCATGTGTGGGTCCCCTGGAAGCAGAGTTACAGATGGATCTGAGCCTCCATGTGGGTGCTGGGACTTGAACATGAGTCCTCCGGAAAAGCAGTCATCGTTCTTAACTGCTGAGTCATCTCTCCAGTTCCCACAAACAATTTCTTGAAAAGACTCACCAGGTAAATTTCCAGCAGTTATAATTAGTATGATGTGTGAGGAGAGAGACTATTAAATCTAGACTGTGGTAACAACTGCTTAATTCTGTGACAAGATTACAAACACTTTGTTTGCTTTTTCCTTTCTTCCTCTTTTGTGGTTGTTGAGACAGAATTTTGCTATGTAGCCTCTGCTCGCCTTGATTTTACATCAGAATCCTAGGTGTGCCTTGCTGAACGGTAAAAGGTTGAATTTTGTGATACATAGATTATATGTCAATGAGGTTGTTTTGAAAAGTTTCTAGCAGTGAATGTGGTTTGTCTTAATGCAAATGTGTTATGGTATTAGTTATTTTTCTAGTTAACACATTTAGCATATTCTTTAAAAACATCATTTGTCTTTATTTTATGTGCATATGAGTCTTGCCTGTATGCATGTATCCCATGCATATGCCTGGTGCCCAAGGAAGGCAGAAAAGGGCATTGGGTACTCTGTAACTCCCTTGACTTACAGACACTTTGTTTGCTTTTTCCTTTCTTCCTCTTTTGTTGTTGTTGAGACAGAATTTTGCTATGTAGCCTCTGCTCGCCTTGATTTTACATCAGAATCCTAGTTGTGGGAGCCAAATCCAGGTCCTCTGTAGGGGCAGGAAGTACTCAACACTGAGCCATCTCTGGGCTCTCAGTTAGCACATATGAACCAGCACTCTTCTTTGATGAACGTCCTTGTAGGACTCCCCCACCCCAATCCCACCTCATCCTCTGACCCCGGGTCTGGGAACAACTTCCCCAAGGCTATTTTGACCTGACAGTGTTTCAGGTCTGCCCCGCACCTGTTGGCCTAGCCATTCTTACATGGTGGGATTTTCCCAGAGTTTCTATGCATTAGAGGGGAGTGGGTGCTGTTCCATTGGTGGAGTGAATCTGTGCTATCTGTATGTGTCTTGTCCGTGGGTTACTGCCCTTGGACAGGAAGGGGTTTGCTCTGCCATATACTCCTGCCCTAGGACTGTCAGCTGCCTCAGGACAGAAACGATCGATATTATACCACTTCCATTTCACAGATGAGGAAATAATGGTGAGAGCCAGAGGCTGCCAAGGCCATGCCACCATCAAACATTCTAGTGCAGGTATACACCCAGACCTTCCAACAGCAAATCTCCAGGTCACAGTCATTAATCACCCAGCAGGTGCTGGGGAAAGTGTGCTGAGTTGACCAGGTTCTGATCAGAGCCTGAGACTAAGGTGGCTTCTGAGGGGATATGGCCCTTCAAGGGAGGCAGGAAAGTTTTTACAGCCAGCTCTCTCCAGACTCCCACCTAGCTCAATGCTGCTACTTTCACACTGATCATCACTGGTAAGGAAGAAAGTGGAAGGTGAGAAGAACTTTCTCACTCAGAGATGTGATGTCATAGCACACTTGCATCTTTCTGTGAGTGTTTCCTTAGGACTATTGAAGGGGCCAGACCCTCACCCAGACCCCTACTTTAGCAGCTATGATGGACTGCAGAAAAGACCTAGCCAGACAAAGGCCCCTGACTCAGCATACGTGCTTAGTTTCTGGCCTTCTGACTTTGCAGGACCTGCCCTAGGTCAGATACCCTCCATGTGGCAAGGAACCAAACAGAAGTTAGCTGATGTGCTTTATGGTAAAAGTAGTGTAACAGTGACTTGCAGAGCATAACAACTTGGGAGGGCCTACAGGCCATAGCAACCAGTTGACCAATCAACATAGGACAGGTCGTCCGAGACCGGAAGCGCACCAATCCTGAGACTGCTGCGTACCCCTAGACATTCCCCTCATATACACTAATAAGTTCCCTGCCTCATGGTTTCTCCAGGTCCTTCTCATGCCACTTCTGTTTGGGATGGATGAAGGGCCCGAGTTAAGGCAGTTAACTCGTTAATAATAAAAGACTCTTTGCTTTTGCATCAGAATGGGTCTCTTGGCGATTTGGGGGTTCAAAATTTGGGCACCACAATTATATGTTCCTGGAGAGCATATGAAGAAATAAGTAGAAGCATGTTCTTGGAACAAACAACATTAATAATGTTGTGGCTGGAGATAAAGGGGGGATGAAGAGAGAGGAGACAGCATTTCCCCACCCACTGAAAAGAAAAGCCCTTTTCAACTGTATTTAAAACAGAGTATACCATGTGTAAAGCAATCACCACTACATTCAATTACAAATATATACATTATGGTAGTTTGAATGTAATTGGCCCCCATAGGCTGACACATAGGTAGTGGCACCATTAGGAGGTATGGCCTTACTGGAAGATCTCTTTGGGATGGACTTTGAGGTCTTCTATGCTCAAGCTATGCCCAGTGTGGACAGAGACTCCTTCTGCTGCCTCAGGATCAAGATGTAGAACTCTCAGCTTTTGTTTGGAGGAATTTGGACTTTGGCAGTTTGAGTTAGGAAAGCAATGGAATGTTTTAAGCATTGCTTAATGGAGTAGGAACTTGGAAGACAGTGGTGCTGAGGGTTATTTGGACTGTGTGGTTCTGGATCAGGAGGTTTCAGAAGAGAAGAATATTAATATGTGGCCTAGGGATTGTTCTTGTGATATTTTAATGAACGTGGCTGTTTTTTGCCCTTGTCCAAAGAGTATGCCTGAGGCTAAAGTGAAGAGATTTGGATTAATTCCATTGGCAGAGGAAATCTCAAAATAGACTAGTATTGACTGTTGTGTGGTTATTGGTGTTAACTTAATCAAGATTTATAATGAAAAGGAGCAAACTGAACCAAAAAAATGCAAAATGTACAATTTGAGGAGACAAGGAACACCAGTAAGTAGAATGGAGCTAAGGAGATACACAGACCTCTTGTCCTGTTATGGGGTAGAACCCTCATTTGAGTTACAAAACCAGAAAAATGTAGAGATTTAAGTACCACCTCTAGAAACCCCTTATTAAAGTAAATTCTATAAAGTGGATATAATTTGTGATCTCATGTTACCCTTTTTCAAAGAGTGGAGCAAAGAATGTTCTGAGCAAGCAGAATCCTGGAGGGTAAGCCAAAGGTTCTGAGAGGGGCAGCTAAAGTTATCTGGGAGACAGGGCCAATTAGAGTTGAGCAACTGTGGGGACATTAACAATGTAGGTAGTGTCTAGTAGTAAGGATTTTGAATAGCTAACTAGTCATTGTCTTCCCTGAGGTTAATGGTTGCTTTCCATTATGAAATGGGGTGCAGTTAAACAGTTCAATGATGGTATATTTCCAAAACATTTATTGGCAGGATGCAAAGACAGCAGAGGAGTTGCAGCAAACACATGGCCTAGCTGCCCGCACTGCAATGTAGGATTGCTCCCTCCCAGGGGCCACCCATGGGAAGGGAACATGACTTCCAGCTTGAGCATATCTCAAGTCTCATCTTGTAGTCAAGAAGCCCATGAATACTGAGCAGAGAACCTGCAGATACTATCATCTTCCTTCTCATGCAATCCTATATATCTCAATTACCATAAAACAATGTCCCAAAATTCCACCGATTCTGCCTTTTGGGGGACTTTGCCTTTACTTGATCTTGATGGCATTGATTTTAAATGACTCATTATCAGCCTCTGGCTATTTCTACACTCCCAAGATGAAATGTATCTTTATGAAAAACCTACAGGCAATTACAACAGATTACTACAGAAGTGTTGGGTTTACTGTGTCCACTTTGCCTGTGTAGGGATGATGCAAAACTCCAGTTCATTTTTCTATAACTCAGGGAATAGTTTCAAGAAGATTATAAAGAATGGTCAAATACTCATGAAAATCCTTTTACTTTCTTATTGATGTAACAATGCCCCCACCCATAGATTGTCCACCTACCCATTGAACAATGCATCCATCCATGCAGTCATGTGCTAGGCTAGAGAACAGGCAGATGGCACAGACAAGAGCTTAGGTAGTAGCCTGGAATGAGGGACCCTTAAGGGAAGCTAAACTTTAGCATTGTTTGCTGGTAAGAGTTGAGCATCACTGAGGTAGAGCAGGGCAGGTACTGGGATGTCAGATGGCTTCCAGCTGTAGGGGTTTGAGGTTACATAAAAGGTTACATAAGGTTGTCATGGATTGGGTTTAAGGAAGTTCTCAGAACTGCAGATCTCTTATCAGTAGTTGCTCAACCATCTGTACTGTAGCTATGAGAGCCAAAGAAACAAACCTGCTGAACAAGTACTAGAGCAGTTGGAGTTATCTTCTAACACAATGCTTCCCAATCTGCAGGTCACAACCCCTCCACAGGGGTCGCAGATCAGATATTCTGCATATTGGTATTTACAACTCATAACAGTAGCAAAATTATAATTATGAAGCAGCAACGACAATGATTTTATGGTTGGGGGAGGGTCACCATACTGTATAAAGGAATTATATTAAAGGACCACAGCATTAGGAAGGTTGAGAACCACTGTCCTAAGAGTTAGTATCAATAGAGCTTTTGTTACAAGCACTTGGAAAATATATTTTTGTAGTTTTAAGCATTTCTGAAAGTCACCTGATTATAAAATGTCCTTGGAAATCCAACTGAGAATTTCATAGGGATGATGGCAATTCCTCTCTTCTTCCAAAAGCTCTGTTGGTTAAATTCCCCCACAGCCTTTCTCCTGCTGTAGTAGGAAGAATTTTCCATACACGTCTCCCAGCACTTTATCAGATTCTCTGGGTCAAATTCTTGCTTGTGAATTGTCCTGTCAATTGTTTTGTACATGTTTAACTCCCGAACCTGGTGGACAGAAATGGCAAATTTCACAAGAGTCTTCAGAAAGTGAGCCCTAACACAGACGAGCAATAGACTATTACAGAGTTATCATGGCATCAAATGAAGGACCCAAGAAACAACACGGTGTAGGGAATTGAAAATGGGGTGTTTATCTATTTAAAGACTTTGAAATAACTATCAGTTCCTCTTACCTTCTCTGGTGGCAAGTGGCATTTAGCTGCCACAGCTGACACCCAGGTTTCTGTTACAAATGCCCCCTGGGGAAAGCCGAATCCCCGGAATGCTGTGTTGGATGGCAAGTTGGTCTTACAGACGCGACCTTGGACACGGAGGTTGGGGATCTTGTAAGCATTTTCCAGTTTGAGCAAAGCATATTCTATCACCTGAAAAAGTGTTCCAAGGTAAAATTCTAAGCACCAGATAGATTCCTTGTCCTGGCAGGATGAAGACGAGCCCTTCTGATGTATTTCTTGACTCCATAGCTAGAAAGGAATCTCACAATCTTTCCCTGGCTGTCACTGTGTATGGCTGTGTACTTAACATTATGGTTTCATTGCTTGTTTCTAATTCTTAAATATTAAGAGGATTTATTTATTTATTCTCCAAAGAAGGAAGAAGAGATGCTACCCCCAGTTTCAACTTCTTCTGGGGTCCTATTTTACAAGTCAGCTGTAAGTGACTTTAGACTTGATGGAAAGATTTAGAAAGGGAGGAAAGGCCAATCAGGCCAGTGATGTCCTCATGTCTGTGGTTAAAGGATTAGATTGAGACAGACCTGGAAGATGCCTGTGAGTTTTGGATACTGAGACACTGCAGAAGCTGTTGGGTCTGGACAGAAGCCTATGTGGGGCTGAGGCTCTAAGCAGGAGGCAAGAGGCTGGGCGGTGGAGGAAAGCTTTCCTTGGCATAGAGAGGAGATATGCCTGAGTGAAACCCACAGCCCTCTTCTCCGTGTGTTAGCATGTGCTTCCCTGACAGCCCTCAGTCCTGCCCAGAGGAGGACACTGGAAGGAGAGGAATGGAAGACTCAGCTCTCTTCTGGGGAACTTCTGGAGATCAACTCAAGACATTCATCAAAGGGTCACACCCAGGCCCTGGAGCACTGTGAGTGGTAAGTGAGCCTCCGGCACTCTCCTGGACAGGGTACCTGGGAGTCAGAGCATCTTACCATTCCCTGACTCCTCATAGGCAGTGGGTGGGGGAGATCTGGAAGCATCCTGAGTCATCCTTACAGTTTACAGTATGTGCCAAGTAGCTGCAGGTCAGTGGGCACGACAGACCATCTATGCTAACCCTCTTAGACACCAGGCTTACACTGAATTGCTCATTACCAAGACCTGGGACCCCAGATGTCCTTTCAAGCCACCTACCAGTTCAGAGTCATCTGGTGTGCAGCCTCCATTGATGTAAAATTGGATGTCTGCTGCCTTGATTTTCCCATCGTTCATAAAGCCAATCTGTGAAGAGTTAAATATTTGCTCCTGTGAGTTTTGTGATATGAATACGATTTCCTGAGAACTTGAACAGAGCAAGTGGAAGATCTGTGGATGCTAAGAGTGTGGGCTGGGGTGTGTACCTGCCTAGGTTCAAACTCAGCTTCTCCCATTGGCTTTGGGATACCCATTCCACCTTCCTAAGCCACAGTAACCTGGGGCATGCCAACAGGGGAAAAGCTGTCACCCACTCCAAGGCTTCATGTCTGTCACCATGAACTGGAAGGCTTGAGTCCCACCTCGGAGTGTTTGGTTCAGTAGACTTGGGCCTGGGAAACTGTTTCTAGCAAATTCCCAGGTGACACTGCTGATGCTGATCTAGTAACCATACTCTGATCATTGCTGACTGGACCCACAGGGGGTTCATACTTGTAGTCCTGACATTCAAGTGATTCAGGACTACAGAGTAAGACTCTGTCTCAAAAACCTAAGAGAGAGAGAGAGAGAGAGAGAGAGAGAGAGAGAGAGAGAGAGAGATAGGGGACTCTGTCAGGTACTCATCACTTCCTGGCAGTGTCTTCCACTAGAATACTGAATGGATCTTCTCCCTTCTTGCATGGTTTTCCAGCAATTTGAGTAACAACAGCATCCTAGCTAGGCTGGCTCTGGGTTACCTAGTCAGGCACGGGGAGGCTGAAGATGGGTAACAGTCAGGGTTCATGCTGGGCCTGAGGAGCTGAGGGAGGGGAAAGTCGAAAAGTCCAGGGAAGCTTCAAGAAGAGGATGGGAGGGGCAGGGGTAATGACTGAACTGACATGCTGTGGTTTTGCCTTAGGGACCCACCCTGTGCATGCAGCCCTCTCTCCTTAGAGTGCTTCCTGTCCCCTCAGGACATTCATCCCTGCTCTCAGTTCTTGTATTCTTCAGCCCTCACATACTGAGTCTCTGCCATTATCTTTTGGTTTCCACAAAGCCAGCAACTTTTTTATTGCAGTATTATAAGAATGGGTCTATTTTGGCAATAGTTCACAATATACTTGGTTGGAAGGAGAAGGTTGGAAAGAAAAAGGGTCATTCCAGTGGACTGTGTTATCAGTGTTCCCCCAACCCCCCCATGCCCCATTTTGGCTGGCTCAAGTGATTCTGGTATGTCCTATGAAATGGGGTATTTGTCTGTTGAAGGCCACCCTAAGGAAAACAGGCTTATCTGTCTATCTGACTGCCAATCCCTTTACAGAGTGTTGGCTATCACACACTTCATTTTAGCACATATCGTATGTGTGCAATGCTAAGAAAGCAAACATGTAAAGATAGGAACCTGCTTAACCCGGGCACTCGGGAGGCAGAGGCAGGGGGGTTTTTGTGAGTTTTAGGCCAGCCTAGTGTACAGAGAGAGTTCCAGGACAACCTCCAAAGCAATACAGAGAAACCCTGTCTGGTAAAACAAAAAGAAAACAAAAAGAAAAAGAAAAAAGATAGGAACCTGCCTCCTGCACAAGAAGCTAGTGGTCTGGTATGGAGACAGGCCTATCACTCTCCACATGATTCAGAATTCAAGGTTGGATGTGTACACCATGTACTCAGGAGGGAATGAGCGGGGTAGAACCTGACACACAGGAAGCACTGTGTAGAAACAGTCAAGGGAAATGAACCATGTGTGGGGTTGGGGTTCAGCTGCTGAAGTCTAGGGAAGGTCTCCCTGAGCAAGGGTCTGTATCTGATCCAGTGTGGAGTAAGGAACCACTCAGGCCTTACTCTAGAGTTCACAGATCTCCTAAGGAAGTCGATGGCATCTACAGTTGGAGCCAGGGGATAGTTTTGTTGCTTGCTTCTTAGCAGCATTTTCTGTGTCCTTCTTGTCATGGGGCTTTATATTCCACCAGGCTGAAGTTGTTAGAAAACTATCTTCCAGCAAAGAGGAAGCACTTTGAACTAGATTCATGAATGAACAGGATGAGTCAAATTTGGAGAAGCATCAGATCCTGAAACATCCGTATTTCAGAGGTCCCAGGAATGGTCAGACCGGCAAATGTCAGTTTCTGCCCACTCTTGTTTTTGCTGCCGTCTCCTTTCCTTTAATGTGCAGGGACTCATTGGCCACAGTGGCAAAACAGAGGCTTTGGTAAGAAGGCCAGAGCTGTTGGTATTCTGTTTTTCACTGGTCCATTGAAGAAAGGGGTCATTCCAAGATAAATTTTGGGCTTATCAAAAGTAGCAGGGTGAGCCAGCTTCTGGTGAACTGGTTGCCCCATTGCTTGCTTTGCAAAAAGTCTTTTCATTGTTACACAATTTACACCTTTAGCAAGCAATTTACCCATATCAACACCTCTAATCTGCAGCTGTTTGAATGACCTGTTTGACTAAGCAATTCTCAGTCAGGAGACCTCATGGTTTGCCAGGTCCTCTCATGGCTGAGTTTTGCAAAGGCTCTGGAATTCTTCAGGAAACACTCGGATAATAATAACTGACTTTAAACAAAAGGTAGCTCAAAGCCTATCACTCCAGGGTTCAGGCCAGATGCAATGGTTCTGTGGGATCTTTTGCTACACGGTGTGGCCAAACAGAGAGCCCTGAAGATCTGGAGTTGCAAGCCACAGTTCCCTGAAGTGGCATGCCTATAGCTGACTTTGCTACCTACTCACCTTATATTTTCCTAGTAGTGGGTGACGTCCTCCAGTTATCAACATGTCATCCCCACGCTCCAGAATAAAACGGATCGGGTAGCCAGTCCTAGAGACAAAGAAACAGAAACACAGTTCCAACAGATTTGAGATTTGAGTTCAGGTTTGTAGAATGCCAGCGACAACTGTCATTGCATCTACAAAAGGAGAAAGAGTCAGAATGCAGCCTCTCCCAGAAGAGAAGGTGCTGAGTTTCATGCTGCCTCCTGATGGATGGTGTGGCCAGGAAGCTGCCTGTGGGCTATGGAAGTTCTTTTGCAGGACCTCTCTTTGGAGATACAGTCGTGCCTGCCTGTGGCTTCTACGGACTTGTCTCCAACTATTTAGAAAAGGTCAACAGCTGTGAATTAGATTCCCCCATCAAAGTAATTTAGGAAGCTTAAAACTCTCTGAAATGGAGACTTTGGTGAATCTTTTATTATTCTCTTTTGTTAGTGATGTCACTGTCTAGTCCAGTGGTTCTCGACCTTCCTAATGCTGAGACCTTTTAATACAGTTCCACGTGTTGTGGTGACATAGAATTATTTTCCATATCATAAAATTATTTTTGTTGCTACTTCATAACTGTAATTTTGTACTGTTAAGGATCATAATGTAAATATCTGACATGTGACCCTTAAGAAAGGGTCATTTGACCCTCAAAGGGGTTGTGACCCACACAGGTTGAGAGTCTCTGGTCTAGTTAACATGTAAGTCCAATTATATATTTTAATTCCTTGCATTTTTAATTCAAATTGCAATCCATGTTAAATCATGCCATTTGTTTCTTCTCCTACAACACTTCTAGGTTCTAATTCTCCTCTTTTAATAAGTGTTCCTTTGGCTAAGCCTTAATTTTGTTGTATCCAGATGATCGCAGTTGGAATTTCAGAGTCTTCTCTGGCTATTTCCAGCTTCAGTCTATGCCTCAGAGCCCCTCAAGGTGAGCATGCCACCTTCTCAGGAAACGCCATGTGTGGGGCTGGTGAGATGGTTCAGCAAGAAATGGTGCTTGCATGAAAGTTTGGCAACCTGGGTTTGATCCCCAGAATCCACACAAGGGAAAGAACAGATTCCATAAAGTTGTCCCGAGTGCCACATACATGATGGAGCTTGCATGTCCCACATTTACCTCATGCACACATAATGGTAAAATAGCCGATATTAACAACATAGACGTTTGGTGGCATGGCTCCATCATAACAACCCCGCCTTTTCTTCCTTCACTAATTTACTTAAGAATTCCCCATTTATGAAGTTCATACCATCTGCATAAGAATGGTTGGGATTACTAAAACCGAGCATATGATTTGTATCTTTGTCATTGTGTCCTTTTGTAGGACATAGTGGTGTATGAGAGAGAATGTGTGAGTGTCCGCGTGTGCCTGTGCCTCTGTGTGTGTGTGTGTGTGTGTGTGTGTGTGTGTGTGTGTGTGTGGCTGGTGAACCCTGGGTACTCTCCCTAGATTCTAGGTTATCTGAGAACTCATCAGGTCTCCCTTAGAGATAAGGATTTGTGGTTTGGCCCATCCATCATTCCATCAGAACTCTCTGTTAGCCTTGTGCCTCAGTAATAGCCATAATATTTATTTTTAATAGGTTATCCATGCACATACGGCAGTTTAAAAAAATTCAAAAGAGGGTTCAGTGAAAAGCAAGTCTTTACTGCAGTCCCCAGCCACATAGCTCTTCCAGGAAGCACGGTGGTCAGCAGTTTTTTGTCCTTCTAAACACACTATATTTTTAATGTGCTACCAGGTGTCTTCCTCCTAGTAGTGAAAGGCCCACATGGGTAACATCCAAATATTCACTTTTCCCTCTGTCCTACCTTCCATCTCTCTGGGCTTTTGCCTATGCCTCGATGAATACTGTAGACTAATCAAACTGTCGGTTTCACTCACTCTTGTTTCCTTGGCAGTTGAGCTGAAAACCCAGCAGGAGTGTGAGACAGAACCCACCCTGTGCTGCTGACTCTGCTGGAAAGCCAGAAGACAAGTGAGCTGGCCTGTTCCAGTGCAGTGGCCTCACAGTGAGGCTGCATTTGCTATCCCTCCAAATAAGTCGGGAGTGTCTCCAAGAAAGCCCTTGAAATTGTTGGGACCGGAGGGTAAGAAGTCGGATATGAGGGGCCCCATCTGGGTGACTGGCTCATAGACCCACTCACTTCCGTGCGGCGACAGCTGCCACGGCTGCCAGGAACCCAGGCTTGCTTGCTTTCCCTCCGAAGGCTCCACCAACCCTTTTCACATGGCAGTTGATCCTATTCTTCGGGATGCCCAAGGTGCGAGCCACCATTTCCTGTGAGAAGTTGGCCAAAGGCCCCCAACAAGGTGAAACAGAACACACAGGATTAGCAAGAAGTTCATTTACTGAAGAACTTTCTTAGCATTTCTCACTGCCTACAATAAGAATATATTTATCTATTTTGAATACCAACCACAGAAAATGCTATGGATGCCTGCAACATGCCAGCTAAAAGGATACATTGGTATCGCTTTTCAAAATTAATGAATGATAGATCCAATTACAAACAGCCACACTGAGTTCTTCATTCCCTGCTGCACAGCAGCCCCTGTAATCCTACCAAGCCCCCCCCCCAGCACTGAGCATTAATACCTTATATAAATAAGCTGGCAGAAGAGACAGAAGAAGCTATGCACTATGCAAAAGGAAATATTAAATGATTCCAAGTCAGGTCTGCAGAGCTGATCAGTGGACCAGGAGACATGAAGGTAAATCTGAGCCTGCTATAACTCGGGGGATGGCCTGAAGTGGTCCAGAAGGAAGCTGCTAACAACTCAGACTGTAGCCAGGTGACAGGGGCTGCAGGGGAACCATGCCAAAGCATGGTGGGCTGAGTTAAAAAATGGCAACTCCCATTCCTTAACTCAGACATCAACCAGGGAATAGTTGCTCCTGCATCAGTGGGTACAAGGGTGTGGCCACAGCGTAGCATGGCTACAGAGAGCTCACACAAGAAAATAAGAGGGTGGCTGGAAAGGGAGGCATGCAGCCTGGGCAGTGAGTGATGTTGCCGGGCTGTGTAACTTGATGATAAATGGAGTTAGCATTTGTATACTCAGGATAAGCTATGCTGTTTCAGAAGGGCCTGAAATCAAAGGCCTAATTTCTATAGAGCTGTGCAGGCGTAAGAAAGGCTAGAAGCTCAGAAATACAGTAGAACTGGGGCAGAGAGAGCAGATAAGGGTCGTCGTTAGCTGTGAATGAGCCACTTGTGGAAACTCGGCTATGGCTCATCTACGAGGTAGTGTTCATCCGTGTTAAACTTCCCAAGAATGACTATACTGCGACTATAAAGGCAAATATTGTAGGAACACACAGCTATATGCGTGTTCGCACAAACACACATATTTAGCACATTTCATTTCCTTCTTATTTTTTACCTTGTAAATTTGTATTTTGAAAAGTTATCATCATTTAGCAGAAGGAGGGACTTGAGAGCATAGCAAGGTCCGTGGAGAGTGTTAAGAAGCAAATGATTTGCAGGGGAAGGCAGTGAGGATGTCCAGGAAAGGAGAGAAAGGCATGGTTTAGGTGGAGGAGTAGCAGCAACGGGGGACTGTGGCAGAAAGTCTGAACTGAAGTGTAAGTGGGAAAGGCAAGCAATTGTTCATACAACATGCCTCGATGGGAGGGAGAGAGGGAAGCAACCACCACTAGGTGAAGCAGAATCAGGGGTACACTTTTAATTTAATTTTAATTATTTTAAGTGTGTGTGTGTGTGTGTGTGTGTGTGTGTGTGTGCGTGATACTCAACTTTGGTCTAATTGGTATCTTCTACCTTGGTTTCATAGCTTTCAGTTAGACAAATGACACTATAAAATGAATCCCACCTGTGTAAATGCTGCATCCTGGCTTGACACATATATGTCCATCTCTTTATCCTCTGCCTTGGGTACCACACGTACACTCTGAGTCTCCATGTAAAAATGTTCCTGGCCTCCAAAGTGTACTTCCCCTTTTAGACAGAGCAAACATATGTGACTTTAGAGACATATCATTTAAATATATCTGAAGTGGAGAATTGCTAAATGCCATGATTTGCTTTTTTTTTTTTTTTTTTTTTTTAGAAAGGGTTTTTTTGTGTGTTTTCGGTTGTTTTTAAAATCTCCCCAGGCTGACCTCAAACTCACAGAGATCCACCTGCCTCTGCCTCCTCAGCGCTGGGAGTCCTGGCATGTGCCACCAATGCCCAGCGCCATGATTTCCTTTTAGGTCATGAGAATAGCATTTAGTTTCCTGTCTTGATTTAAGAGAAAAATCACTGTGATTTGACAAAGTTTCCGTAAGCAGCTGTCATTATGTATAATTGGCTGAACACATGCAATTTAAAATCTCCTATGTATTTGGCTCCATTTCCCTACCCACTTATGTCAACATGTTCTTAAGAACTAGAAATTAATTTTTGTTGGCTTGAGCAACAACTGGGATATCAAATAAAAGTAAAGAATGAGATATTCTTACCTAAGGGTAAATTCATTTCTGTAATGAGGCTGCCCAGGATAGTTAATGGTTTTACAAAGCATACAGAAACTTGTGCTTGAACACTGACAGTCAGCCAGATGCCTTCTCGTCTGCTTGTTGGAAGTATTGAAACCACAAAACACATCTCAGTTTCCCAATGAGATGGAAAAGACTTCACTGGGACCCACAGTGGTAAATTGCTTGCCTAGCTGGCATGCCTCAGGATGCAGGCTGGATTTTCAACACTAAACAACATCCTCACCCCTGAAGCAACCCAGACAAAGTAGAGACCTCAGGTAGAAAGAATAAATGGTGTATGCAAGGAGGTAGGGGAAGAGTGAAGGATAAACTTCTCTCCTCCTCTTTCCACTTACAAATTTCACCTAAATAGCAAGTAAGCATTTCAGAAACCTGTGATCAATCAGAGGTATTAAAAAATAAAGTTGAGCATCAGTGAGATGGCTCAGTGGGTACAGGTGCTTGCCGCCATGGCTGAAGACTTGAGTTTGACTCTGAGGTCCCACACAGTGGAAGGAAAGAGCCAAACCAACTCCACATGTGTGTACTTGGTGCGCACACACACACACACACACACACACACACACACACACACACAAAACGTAGAGATTTTTTAAAAATAAGGATGGTTGGGCTGTGGTGACACATACCTTTAATCCTAGCACTCATGAGGCAGAGGCAGGCAGGTTTCTGTGAGTTCTAGGCCAGCCTGGTCTACAGAGTGAGTTCTAGGATAGCCAGGACTATTACACAGAGAAACCCTATGTTGACAAACAAAACCAAAAACAAAAGGCTGGTTTGCAGTCAAGAAGGTGTAGGTGTGTAAAGGAGTGGTTAGAAGACTTTGCGTTTGCCATCACTCCACAGATACAGCTTTTAAATGATCTGGGTTTCTAGGCTGTCTTTACTCTTCTGACTTTTTATTGATTCCCGTGGCTAGTGTCCCTGGTGAGCATCTCAGAATCGCCGCCGTGTTCATCACTTCTCTGGGAAACAGGTTTGAAATTTTAATAATGAACTCATGACAAGTGGATGGTCGCTGAAGTTTCCGCCCCTCTCATTCTCTGCCCCATTTGCTTCCCGCCCTCTCCTTTTGTTGAGTGTTTGGTGACTGTAACTTTTACTGTAGCACTGTTACTTCAAAATAAATTTGGCTCCAGAATGGCTCCATACTTGAAATAACGAATTTCAACCTAACTCATGAGTGTGTTGGATTTTTTGTAGTCTGTTAATCCCAGCAGCTGAGTGCCAGCCAATCAGAAACGGCCAACTCATTGGTTTCTGTACCCACTTGTCTATGAATCCTCCTGTCCACACTATGGGAGCAGAGTGCTCTGAACTCCTCATGACACTTAATTGGAGACTCATTTTTCGCTCAATTAAACTCTTCAATTTGTCTCAAGTTTTTCTTTTGACAGTATCAATTTTGACTTTAACCTCAGATTTTGGCCATTTGACCTGGAGGTCATGCCAAACCCTGTGGAACCGGGTTGAATATGGATATCTAAATGGATTTTAGGTACTTTTTTTTTGCTCCTTTAAAGACCAGACTGAGTTTTTAAACCTGGTCTCCAGATCCACTCTTTCCTAAGCACATGAATTCTTAACTGCTAATGAGTTCCATCTCATTTTTGTGGACAGTGCCTGTCAATGCCTCTTGGATTCCTCTTGGATCCCTCATCTCTCTGTCTACAAAGATGTCTACCATGTTGCTAATAGAATCACTCTCCTCTCCCGCTGGACAACACATCTTCAATTTCAGTCATCTTAGATTCTTTGCTGTTCACACTTAGTCAGTGCCTAAATCTTCACTTACATTCTCCTGCCCTGTAGTATCAGTTATCTCGAACCTGGAGCTCTGTGGTGACCTTTGACCTGGCCTCTGATGAACACATTCTTCCTATTTCAATCTGAATTTTTCTGCCAGGTGTTCTAGATAGCAACTGAGAACCTGCCACTTTCCTATGCAAGATACCAAATATTTTCCATTGTCTGTAAAAGTAGAATAGTTTTTTTCCCCCAATAAATCAAGCTCTACCATATTCTTTTCCAGACTTTTCTCCGAGTCTGATATTCCGGTTTGTTCCCCACATTACTCACTTCATGAGAAGAGTGAAGATTCATTAAGTTTTTCCAAGCCTTGAGCATGCTGGGCAAGTACTGTCACTGAGCTGTGTTCCCTGCCCTTGGCATTTGGGACAGCTTTCACTATGCTCCAGCCCAGGCTGCCCTTAAACTCCTGTTCTTCCTGCCTGCTTCAGCATCCAGAGTACTGGGATACACCACCAAGCATCACTTCAACTTTATAGAAGCCAGAGTATCACTATATTAAAAATTCCTAGGATAGAACAGAAGGTACTTAAGAATTCACCTTCAAGGGGCTGTGTATGGTACACACCTTTAATTCCATCACTGGAGGGGCAGAGGCAGGTTGATCTCTGGGGGTCTGAGGTCAGCCTGGTCTCTATAAAGTGAGTTTGAGGTCAGCTAGAGCTACCAAGTAAGACCCTGTCTCAACCACCTTCCTGCATGCCCCCCCCAAAGATAATTCACCTTCAAAGAT